AACAACTTGTTCTGAATAACCAAAAGGCTCAGGATGTTGATATTTAGTTAGTAGCATATGCTGGGATCAAGGACTACTATGTTTGTTAAAGTGAATGACTTTGACTTATATTCAAGGTCACAGGGGTCAAATTTGTTTAAAATCTTTAAACAACCTCTTATGAATAACCATGGGTCCCAGGATGTTTATACTTTGCAAGTTGCATCCTGAGATGAAAGCCTATACAATGTGTTCAACATAATGACTTTGTTCGACTTTCAATCACAGGGGTGAAATGTTTAAAAAAAAAATAACAGGGTCTTTTGAACGAATTTTAATCATAAATACTGATATTTTGCCTGTAGCTTTATTTTAGATCACTTTTAAGGTTACAAGCGTGAGTTTTATACCAGGTGAGCGATGCAGGCCCATTGGGCCTCTTGTTTCACATACTGTATATAGTAACCTCCTTTTATTAAAGTCTTGGATATAACTTTAGCACAGTTGAGTCTGGACACTTCTGTTGATCGGGTAGCTCAGTGAGTTAGAGAAATGGTAAAACAATCTGTAGTTCGAGGTTTCCAATCCTGGTCTGGCCTTCACAATTTTTTAAACTCGGAACACTATTGTTGATCATCTTTTGTTTATAACATCTTTATTATTTTTCATAAAAGTCCCACAAGGTATGGTTTCCTTTCAAAAAATGATTTATCAAATGTATAGTCATGCTAAAAAAAAGCAGTTTCGAATGCATATTTACAGTTTTTGACAGTGGTAGGCTGATCCGTAACACTCAGTTTTATTTGTTGCCAGAACGTCACTTTGATCATGGCCACTTCTGCCGGGCAGTGTGTTGCCGTGTGTACGAAGTACTACAGGAGTCTCTGCCTCCCCCCTACCACATCAACCATCCCACGCTCACCACAACTTCCCTGCCCTCCCCCGGCGAGGGACAGCACGTCACACCTCTGTGTATGAACTGGTCTGAGGGAGACGAGAAGGTTGAGGTTCATGATGGAAACACTGGCCGGGCATCTGACATGTATGTTTGGCATTTTCTTTTAATTTCACGTCTTAACCCTTTCACCACTGTAGACTATAATGGACTCATCCAGATCAATGCATGGTAGAGTCTACTAAAGTTACATGGGGTTGAAAGGGTTAATGATGGGGTGGGGATATGAATATACCATGTTTACAGACTTATTTAATCCTGTGTATCTGGAGTCTGTTTTTTAGGTAATTGTCACCACGGTATACTGGATTTGAGTATCTAATGAAAGAAATATGCGAATATTTTGTATTCCCTGAAATTTTCATGGCGGTTTCACTTTCAGCATACTCACCCTCAATAATAAGGGCAAATTTATCTTGATAACACAGCATACTAAACTAGTATTAAATGTCATAATGCAACAAATACTAGCTAATGTGGATCATGTTAACCCTTTCACCCCTATGTAACTTTAGTAGACTCTACCATGCGTTGATCTGGATGAGTCCATTATGGTCTACAGTGGTGAAAGGGTAAAGGGCAAAAGATTGACTGGGGGAAAGTTTCTCGGTATTCAGTAATTATCTTGTTGTCTGACAACCTATAATTTTGATGACCTTAGAGGAAGTTTTAAGCAATCTGTCTCATTCAATATTACAGGTCTCCGCACAAGGCCGGGGCCAATGGTGCAAGTCGCCTGTGTAAGGCTGCATTTCTACACCGATTTAAGGAGCTGGCTAAGGCCACAGAGCAGTACCAGCTGCTCCAGATTCCGTCATTCACTGCCGCTAAACAAACCGCCAAGAACTACCAGGCAGCTAAACAGGCATTCTACTCTCACTGTGTGCAGATCGGCGTCGGCAAGTGGAATAGGAAACCTAAAGAAGTGGATAGTTTTGGAAAATAAAACATTTTTACCGTCCAAGGGAGATAAGCTGTCAATTTCAGCAATAATCTGGAGAAAAACTTGACAACAGAGTTCTTATCACTGTTGTTATCAATGACATTTAGTTTGATAATAATCAGAGAAAAATTATGATTTTTTAAATGCAGTCATTTCAAATCAATGGGAATAAAATGCTTCGTCGTGTTTGACCAGGTAGTCTTATTCCTTTCACAGAAGAGTGCGTGGAAAAAAAGACAACTTCAGGGAGTTTTTATGTAATATGTAGAAAGTTGTTTTTTGTCAACTTTTCAGAGGCAAAGTCTGAATGTCTTGTAATTGTGTACACATACTTTGAAAGTCTCAGGCAAGGCTTACGAGAAATCAATGTTAGCAAGTTGTTTTTTGTCAGCTTTTCAGAAGCAAAGTCTGAAGGACTTGTAATTGTGTACACATACTTATAAAGTCTCAGGCAAGGCTCACTAGAAATCAGTGTTAGCCCTCGTGCAGGAAGTTCATCTTTATTATATAAACAAAGAACTGTTCCCTTACTGGTCACATGTGATAAATAGAAGTGACCAAAGACAGACGGTTTCATACAAAAATACTCATCTTCCTTTCATCTTGACCAAATTGTAGTGAACGCAGAATTCAGGTTTTCAGCTTTACAAAAAGTTGAGAGCATTTGGTTTTTTTTGGGGGGGGGGGGGGGGGGGGGTATAAAGATTCTTCCATACATGTTTATTAGTATGTCAAAACAATTTTCAAGGTCACATAGTTATCTTACCCCCTGCAAACAACAAAGTTTCTGTGGGTATATTCTGTCTTTGCGTATTGCAGAGTTATCTGCTCTTGTGAGCAGGTATTGATTGTTACGTCATTGGTTTGTGAGATTAACGTCATCAATTTTTGAGCAAAAGACGTAATTTTCTCACATGAACCAATGACGTAACAATCAATACCTGCTCACAAGAGAAGATAACTCTGCAGTACGCAAAGACGGAATAGGAAACACCATATGTAGAAATTTATAAGAACAATTAGGCCTAAAGTATTTGTACTAGGGGCCTGATATTTTGCATTGAGGCTCTCAGGGAGGTCTAACATTGATGTGGTGCAGTCAATCAAGAAAATAATAACTTGTATGGCTAAATTAAAATAAATTGAACAAATTTACTAGACTATTTTGTAAAGGTTTTAACAGGAAATCAATTGATAGAATTTCTTGTTTTTGTGCCAAATGTAGAACCTGCTGTGTATCCTCATTTGTTTATATTTTGCTTCAATCACTCAGTAGATGACTAGTGCTATTTTATTTTTAGATTAACTTGTAGTGACTTGGAAAACTAATGTACTAAAAATAAACCTTTAACTACATACACGATACATTTTGTGCCATTATTAATTTATGACTGTATTGTATTTGGTGGATTATTTATATGTCGCCCATTCAAAATATGATGAATTTCCAGAATCATGTCTTAATGAATAGCTAGAAGTACGAATCGAAATCAGTGACTATTGTCTTTTTGGGTGCGAGGTTGAAGCAAATACATTTGTAAGGCTTAGGCTAAAAAAAATATTGTATGTTTCAGGTACCCTGAGCGACCCTAGTTTTTACCTCTGACCATATCAATTTTATTTCACTCGAATGATCCAAACCTCCCATTTGAGTGTGCTGAAAATTGTTAGGATCTTTCTGACATCTCTCTATTTCATTGTCAGGTATCAATACCAATTTTCCCTCCCAAACTAATGTTTTAAAGACCTGAGACCTGAAAGTATAATGAAAACAATTGGTCTGAATAACTATGTTTTGTGATTTTTGTAATTTCAAGAATTAGCACCAACCCTTTCCCTCATAAAAAAAAAAATAGATATAAAAACCTACAAATCTATCCTATTTTTCAGTCATGTTACAAAAACCTTAAATATTTTTTAGGCCTTATATTACCCGGCCCAGTGGCAAGTGAGATAATGTCTTGCATCCCTCAGACGTCAACAGCTGAAGCAAGAGGTCAAGGGTGATCATGTTGGGACAGTGACATGCTTGGCTGAAAGGCTGTCAGTTTTGTTCAAATATATATGACCTTGACAAATTTTTGAAATAACTAGTTACAATTGAAAGAAAAAAAATTTCATAACAACTTCTGTATATCCAAGAGGCCCGAGGTCACGATATTCGGCCTACATCCTTACCTTTAATGACCTCTGCTAAACCTCCATTTAGTCAAGAAAAATGATTCTGAATGCAAAATGCTGATGAGAGGGTTATCAATCAATTTTTCCCCAATACGTGACATTGACCAATTAGGACTTTAGGATTATAGGCTTAGAGTAGGAACATGCGGTCTATAGCTTGCTGAAATAACACAAAATTAATTCTTGAAATAAATGATGACCTTGTTAGCTATGAAGGTGGCGGCAATACATTTTGTTTTCTTAATACAAAGGTCAATAAGGTGATTCGCAGTAATGATATTTAAGCCTTTGCTTGCGAGAGACCAATGCATTTTAGTGTGCAACTGGACATGGCCAGCTAATCCAGATTTTCAGTCACAAGATGCAGGATTTAACTTCATGATTAGTGCTCGTATAAATTCAAACCTTTTTGATATTGTAGAAATCACAATGACATACCTTTTTTTTGTGTAAAATGTATAAATTTATATTTCATTTATGAAACATGCCAATCAGAAATTCAGTCTTATTTTATTTTGTATTCAGGTTCTCATAGCACATCCAGTGAAGTGTTACTGTGTGATGTTTCAAAGACTAGCACAATATGTACTTTGTCACCTTCACCAGACACAACTTGTTAAGCATATGTACACAAAGGTGTAAAATATGAACTAGTCGGCGATTGAGTTTGTTGCAAATTGTGCTAAGCAATAAGCGTAATTAACGAAGTTAACATACTCTTATTATTGTCATGGAAATGTCACCCGTAAGCACTTTACAGGTTGTGCTATAAAAATCTTTATCGTATACTTATCAGTGATATATGTTGTTTTGCATGTGTGATACTGCTAGCTATGCATTTTATTCCCAATAATTTAGTTTTACAAATATGAGTAACTGTTATCAACTGTAGTTATACTCTTGTTCAGATACGATTACATTTATTGCATATGCATTCCCATTTTATCATGTGATTTAGATAAAGAAACTGTGATTCATATAGATTCTTTGATGCAGTATATTCTTTCATTTTGAAAAATCTTTAAAAATTTAACCACAACATATTCCCCATCAGCTATGGACCTTCTGTGATCTTTCTCAGTAAAACTGAAAAATGCAGGCACCATATTTCGAACCTACATATTGTCATTCATAATAACAATAATATTAATAATAATAATTCTTATATACCGCTTTATCACAACCTAGTTCGTAGGTCATCTCAAAGTGGTTGACAAATTATTATCCGTGGTTATAGGGCCTTTGCTACCAGCCAATATATATTCTACTACCTGGGGAGCATACAGCTGGTGCTGCCATTTCGGAGCTCACAGCTAGCATTCTACAATTCTAGCACTGCCCAACCACATACTCATTTACAGCCGAGTAGACTGGAACAAGCAGAGTAAAGTATCATGCTCAAGGATACAACACAGTGCTGTGCCGTGACTCGAACTCGCAACCCTTCGGTCATGAGCCTGGAGTCCTACCACTTGACTACCAGCAGTGCCTCCTTCATTCTATAGTTTTGTTACTTGTGGACCAAATCAATACATCACAACGTATTGCTTATACCTGTCAACCCTCCCAGTTGTTTTAGGAAGTCTCCTAATTTATTTTTTGACACAAGTACATTTTAAAATATCTCTACCTATTTCCCCCAATGAAGAGCCTTATGAAGTGGCTAAGGAAAGCTCTGATTAATTCAGGTGAACATGGGTGTGTATGCTCAATACAACATTATTATTTTTCACAATTTTTGTTGAATTAAAAAAGTAATTTTGATGAAATTAATTTATATTTAATTCTTCCATAAGCAATTAATTCTCATTAATTTTTGTGTTGCCTTGCGTTCAGGCGACATATAGGTATTACTTTGTCATTGGCATCGGTTGCATCGTCTGAAACAAGGTTTCTGTGCGATAACTTGAGTTCCCTTCGGTTGATTGAACTCAAACTTGGTACACATATAACATATTGCATACCAATATTGCTTGGACGAGTTCGCATTTTAGAAGTTTACATGCATTTTTGGTGGAGTTATGCCCCTTTTATTGCGAAATAATGGCATTGTGTAGTAAATGCAGTAACATTTTTTATTATTTTATCAATTCCTTTCAAATTTTGTACCGTAATGCTAGAAGCAATAATGTTCAACGTGTATGACAGGTTTTTTCTGTCGAATTTCAACTTTCCGCGTTTTGGTATATCACACTTGACATAGCAAACCAAAACACTTTTCTCACTAAAAGCGCCGAGCAGGCGACATATCCACTCCTGTGGAATTTTTGTATTTTCCATTTATATATCTGAATGATTAAATCATGACTGTCTTAATAAGGTAGCCATATACATTATACTTTTTTACATATACCTATTCCCCTGATTGTATCTGTGATCTTTGTGATAATGAGAGACAAGTTGTAACATGAAGTTTATTCATTTATGAATAGTTAAATGCCACTGGTTAGATTCATTTCTAGTATATTCCACTATGTGAAAATTATTGAACCTGCAGTATTTTTTCATGTTAATACCAAACCTGTACTTGTGTTTTCAGCGACCTGCGTTTGTTTTATTTCATCATTTCTGTTGTCCTCAAGTACTTACTGTGTAAGTGCAGTTTCAAATGTAATGGTTTTAGCAATACATGTGTTTTACTACGTAAATAAACTATTTTGTCAGTTTTGTTTTTGTTTCATCGAGTCATTGTTTGATGATCTGGTACATGTCATAGCAAAATTGAAGGTACCTGTCCTTTGTTTCCTATTTTCTTTACAAGGCATTTCAAATGAAAGAGTAAGTTCATCAATGTGCAAAACAATCAAATTTCATTGAAAACGTTTAGTCAATTTTCCTGTCACATAAAGATCCTCTAGCAGTAACCTTGATCTTCATTTGTGAAATTTGGTTGAAATTTTAGTCAGGTATGACCATGTGTCAAGGGCAATATTCCCATAACTATATCAAGAAACTGGAGCTGTGAAGGTTATAATAATATAGGTGTTAATTTTGCCCTTCATATTTAATAACTATACACATGTTGTTTACTAGTATTCACTGTAATGATAAATTTGTCCTCACTGGGAAGAATGAAAAAGGCGAAAGTTAAACTGCGGCAAAACATTTCCCGATCAACAGTATTTCCAGAGATATAAAAGTGACAAACCTGACATTCACAAGCTAAGAAGGATGCCCCTCTAAAAATGAAGAAGGCTCAATTTTGGACTAAAGGGATAATGCATAGCAAGTTTCATCTAGATTCCTTCCTTAGTTTCTGACAAGAACAGTGGTAACAAACTTCAAATGTAAAGTGAAGATAGTCGCCTGGTGGTGGTTATTTTGCTTTATTGAACCACTGAAATCGGAGCATGCAGAACTATGTACTTATCGGGTAAGGTAGTCATGCAATTCAAGTTTCATCAAGATCCTTTCAGTATCTGAGAAATACCAGCATTAAAATTCACGCGCAAAATTCAAAATAATTTGCCTGGTGGCCATTTTTGCTAAACTGATCCACCTCAAATTTGGGCATGAATAATGAGGGACCTAAGGGATTGTGGATACCAAGTAACTTAAATTCTATCATAACCTTGTCCAAAATTCAAGAGAAATGCCAGTAAACAATTGTGACCGACCACGAATGAAAAGTGATTTGAACAGCCCATCATCTGATCATGGTGGGTTGAACTTATTACTTGTATTAGATGAGCCTTTATCACTGACACGAGGGTTTGTTGGAGAAAGTTCAACTGACCAATCTTATTTTTCTTCCACAAAAACCAACACTGTGATGTTGAATTAGACAGCCTAGTGTTTGTAATGTGTTATGAACATTAAGTATGACCGCTGCATACAATTCCTCAGATCAAAACCTTCATCTTTGACTCCAGATATTTCGTTTGAAAACTAGATTAGCAAAAGTTTAGTATTTCTTTAGACATACCAGTACAAGAGAATCACTTCTAGTATTGAAACATTTCAAACCAAAACAAGTGTAATCAATACTTCGATATTTTAATTGATTTTGATCTTTCAATCCAATACAATAGAAAGGTAGCAAAAAAAAAAAAAAAAACCATTTGGCTTCCGTATCAAAGAATTACTTGCGGAGTTCGTTTTTCATTATGAAAACTGCCATGTTAACAAAACAAGGAAATGATTGGACATAATTTAAAAGGAAGAAGAAAATGATGGAAAATAGGACATAAATATTTATTGGAGATGATTTTGACACTGCTACAGGCGCAAGACTTCCTGCTTGAATGGATATCAACAGTAACATGCAAAATGATTGCAAGTATTTCAATATTGTAAAAATGGGAAAACAAGTCTTTCTCAAACTGGCAAACCGTTAATGTCTCCAGTTGCAGGCAACATGAAATGAAATGTTGAATACATTATAAAAAGAACATTTGTACAATTTGTTCCAATATCAACATGAGAAGATGTGTAAAGATTAATTTTACTTTCCGGCATCAACACGAAAAATCAAAGTTGAGAAAACTTTACTCGACAACTTTTTTTAAATCAGCATTGCTAGAATTTCAAACTCACCTGAAGCTGCAGTATTTGTTCAAAACCTAGTAACTCTCTTTCTTGCAAGACAGAAATGCTGGTTTTGATACACTCAGAACAGCATTTTATCGATATATTATGCCAAAGTACAAACCCTAATGCCTTCATATCCACACATTGTGTTTTTTTTAATTTTTCTTTCATGTTTAAAATTTGAACTACTTAAGTTATGGCAGTTTAAATGCATCATATTTTTTGGAAGTAAAAAAAAATCACAGGAGTAAAAAAAAAATCAACCATCATGGAGTTTTTGTATCTGACCGAGATGGAATTTTGTACTATATAAAGATCTTAAAAAAACCTTTCAAATCACAATTAAACAAACACTATATAAGGACTACTCTTGCTTTGTGCATTTAAATGAGTTTAACCCTGTTAACTTTTATAATGTGAAATACAGAGATTATTCAAGATATCACAAGTCCACAACATGGTGTAAATCATTAAAAACAAAACTGTACACATATACACATAACAGATATATATATATTCTTATTATATTCACTTAGCCTCCTTCATAAAGCCTATTGGTTCTGTACCTTGCCATAAATATTCTTTATCTCATATTAAAGGGTTATTCCAGGTAGTAACTTGTGGCTTTCCCTAGAAGGACCAGAGGTGGACTATTCAAAACTTACAGGCTATGAGTATGTTTTTTTTTTAAATTCTAGTTTGTTAGATTATTGTTGTATTTAAACATCATTGTACGTGCAATATACCTTATTTCCAATTTGTTAATAATCTGAATTAATCTATTTTTGGGGGGAGAACCAAATGTAGAATATGCATCGACAAAGAAAATGTTACACTTAACCAATGTATTTGTGTTTTTTTCTGAATGGTTACCTTAAAATTAACTAGGTCTCATTCATCCGATACCAGTGGTCTTTAGAAGGCCACCACACACACATGCACACACGTTTTGCACACCTGCTTTGCGACCGTAGCCAACATTGAATGGAAAGTGATGTAATATCGCAGACAATAAGATACTATTAACATACACTGTATTCTGTGGCACTGTTAAAACTAAATTTTAATCAATAAAGAAAAACAAAACTACATGAGGAACAATATTCTTTCGACCATTCTAAGATGAGTAGGCAGCATTGAAGTTGATAGGATATGTCCAGGATTATACCGTACTCCATCTCCAACACATAACGGTATTTAGACAAGATTTTTTTTCAATTTTCTTCCGTATTTGTTTCACGTGAGTGTAGTGGCTAATTAGTAAGAATTGTACATAAACATGTTTCTACGGCTTAAGACTAAGGATTAGGACGCTGTTTGTTCTTGTGCATGCGCTGAAGTGGAATCCTGTGGCTTCATGACATCTGGGAGTTCTGGCGGACTGGACAATGGTGTCACCTCGAAGGCTTCAAATTCTCCATCTGAATGTAACATTATAACTCATATTTAATATTAAAGTCATATATGAAATGAAGTTATTGAAAATATAAATGACAACATATTAATATGCTTCCAGTAAAGAGAGGAAAAACTAGAAAATGTCTGTATAAAGACATGGAATTCCTACGTCACCATGCGAAATAAGTTTCAGTGTTTGATGTTCTATAAATAGTAACAAACACTTTGATCATGGGAAGGGACGGACATGTGCAACACTATATGCCCCCCCCCCCCCATCTATGGCGGGGGGCATAGAAATTGTCTTGATTATGCAGTAGCTAGTGTTTTTGTAAAGGTAAATGATAATGTAAATGGAGAGATTTAGTCTCACTATCATGCATAGTGCTAACAATTATAAATTTGTTTTATTTATTCCTGTATAATAAACCAGAATTTGCTGTTATTTCTTTTAATCAATCTCTGTCAGTTAAGCAAATGTACTGTGTATAACATCTACAATGTCAACAAGCCTGTTGGTTAACGGGGCAAAGCAAGACACGTTATTCTTGACCTGAACAGGCTATATCACGTTTTTGAAATTGTCTTGATGATGACACATTTACCATGTCAAGTCAAGTCAGACTGAAGAAGTGAACCCAACTAGGTACAGTGATATTTGCAATATGCTTTGAGAAGTTCCATAGTTTATATCACCATCCTATGGAAGCCACCTTGTTTCCAAGTACAAGACAAAGTGAAGACCATTTAATACAATCTATAATTCAATCTTGGTGCAAAATAACCACAGAATTGGATTTAATATTTTTGGACAGGAAGGAAGGTATTTTTCAGTCGGAAACAGTTTGTTTTTGTTTGGTAGCATTTTGTCTCTGTTGTTAAAACAAGAATTATATTTTTTGGCTGTTTATGTCATTTAACATTCAATGCAACTCATTTAGAATCAGAAATTTGTTCTCCTAAGTCTATAACTACACATTTTACTTACCCTCTTGTTTGAAAGCCAATCCAATTGTTGCCGGTGCCTGTGCTCGTGCTGTTGCAAATGTGAATCCATAATCACCAAGTGTTTTATTGTCATCTAGGGGCTGTCGAGGAAAATTAGAGTATACAATAGTGTGATTAGTAGTGAGACAAAACACCCGAAATGACTATTAAAGTTGATGATCACATATCCTTCAATTTTGCAGGAATAAATGTAAAGGAAGTTAGATCGGATATTTTAACTCAAAAGTGAACCATATTCAAATTTGTAAAGAAACAACTTTACTGTGCCTTTTAAGGCTCTCAATAATAATGGTGCAATGCCTCGACATAAATACTATTTGTGGGAAATTAAGATCATTTTTGATGTTGGAAGAAAATTAACCATAATACACTCAAAGTTAATAAGAAAATGCTTAATATAGGCAGGAAATCATCTTAAATTAAATATGAACACTGAGATGCATTCACAAAGCCCACCCCCCTCAATTTTGCTATGACATATTACAGGGGTGTAGAAAGCGAAAGTGAGCGTAACCCCTGGATATCGAGGATGACAGAAATAAGACATTGGCTCTTTCCCCTTCCTTTTGTTTAATAAAATTAACTACTTGTCGAGAGTGAGACATTATATAAATATGACATTCATTAGCAGGTGACAGTGAATATTGTCACCTGCTAATGAATGTCATATCTATTTTGTTACACCAAAAGTCAATGTAGCTCAGAAACGGCAGCAAACCTCGATAATGACATCTTGTTTGTTGATAGTCTGCTGTTTACAATCGCTATCGCACCGGCGCTTGATGAAATTGGCTGTTGCCGTCAAACGTTCTTGTGACCATCACGGTGGGGAAACGAAGCGGTGCACGCACATTTTTTGCGCATGTTTTCACTGTCTCATGGCAATATCACCCGCGCCCCTTTAAACCAATGTATTTTCGGAGGGTGACAGAGATTTTTGTTTAATTTTCTCCCAACCAATCAAATAGCTAGAAATTCACTTGAGGTGTAACAAAGTATATTATCAACTTTACAAAAACAAAACCTTTTACTAGATCCAGTATTAGAAGGTAGGTGAAAGATGTCAATCTGATCATTGACCAAACAGAGGGGGTCAGTTACATAAAGTATTTTTTGGATCATCTTGATACGTTATAATTTTTAATCATAAGGACAAAACATTATAAGGACAATTCGTCCTTCAAGTTATTTGAAGGACTGTGAATTCCATGGTTGTAAAGGGAGTTCCTGAAAATCGCCACTGATATGTATGTTTAACTTGATATACCTGATCATCTTTGTATAGTTTCTGGTCATCTGGTCTGGTTTTTAATATACCCTCTATTATTTTCTTTACTTCATGCACTGTGGTAGACTCCTTTGCATCTGTGAACATGGTGCACTTCCTCCGCCTAATCATCAAAAACACATCCTGCAAGATAACAAAAAAAAAGTATAAATAAGTGAATAAGCAAACAATCAAAAAGCATGTCTCATGTGATAATTTTAGGTCTTTTATTAATATGGTATTTAAATGTTGGTTTTGATACCCTCCTATGAAGTAGGTGCCTTGTTTGTTTGTCCATCAATTTGAATGCATCTGATGGACAAGTAATTATAATCCGAACACTGGATGGAATGTGTTTCAAGAGTGAAAAAAAACCTGTAATGATCAGAGATAAAAATTAGGTTTGATCAGGGTACCTGAAACATACATTTTGTTTGTCCTTACTGTAACCAAATACTAGTGGAAATATGTTATAGGTACTGGCAATTTTCCTTTTCATAACGTTGTGACATCTCAAGTTCTCAACATTATTACATGATGTATTACGATATAATGAACTATAACCTGTGTCATCACAGTTAAACAGACTCCATGAACAGTCAATCCTGTATTAAGAGAGCATGAACTTAAGGAAGTCAAAAAAAGTATTCTCTTAGTCTGAATATGTCGGCAATCTCTTTTTGATTTTTAATTTTAATATGGTCAGGTGGTTCAGTGGATAATGCTTTCGCTTTTCACCGAGGCGGTCGGTGTTCAATTCCTTGAGCGGACGTGAAATGGTACGATGTCACCTGCCCATGCACCTCCATGGGTTTTTCTCAGGTACTACGTGTACGGTTTCCTAGCTCCCACATTAAGACACTCTGTGTGCTAAATTACTTATTTCATAATTGTTGTAAAATTAATAAAGTTGACATTTTATATATATACAAAATGATGGATGATTGATAAATCATTTAGGGTTATTGTCAAAGTAATTTCTGTCAAAGACTGACATGAGCATTGGGGGAAAACACCCAATACCTAACCCGAGATGGACAACTACTAGTAGATCTGATGCAATAATTCATCTCGTGCTCAAAATGATCTTCATGGCAGAAACTACTTTCCCCATTGACATTTGATGATACTTTAAAATATTACAACTAATATTATATGGGATTGTGAACCAGTCTGAGTGCACAGACCTAGGGGTTATCCATACACAGAACCACTGGTATCTCATAAGTGCCCATGCAGTTATCCAAGAGTATCTTATGAGCGACAGTGTATAATAATTTTCCAAATTGGAGTTGATCACATTTTTCAGATTAACTGCTAAATGTTGTGCTTGATCCCCCCATAAAAGTCTACATTTAACGGTTCAAAAATGCTATGTCATGATAGCAATTATCTGGTTTTAAAATTTTTATGTTGACAAATGAAAATGCGATAAGGTTGTCAAATTTTCTCATTTCAGATGGGTTCTTTTAGCCATTGTAGTCATCAGACTGCTCAGAGAGGTGGATATTGGTGATTGTGTGATGTTAAACTAGGCTAAGGCAGTTGTTTAAATGGGGGCTTGGGGGTGCTAGAGTAAAAGAATCAACTCAATACAGTAATTAAATATATATTATCATATTATATATTACCAATATTAATACATTACATTTGTTTAAAACTTCAAACATTATTCTATTCTCAGACGCATCTAAGTTGACGGTAAAAAAGAGAAAGTAATGCTATGACAATAAATTAAATATAACGTTAGAAGCCTAAATCTTGATCTGGGTGTGTTATGATCACTTTACGTTGGTCTACCGGCATCAGACAACTGACAATACAATAGAAATTTTCGATAATAACACACTTATTCTACGTTTTATTTTCATGTCAGTAAGAAACGGTCAAGTATGTCGAACCTACCACAACAAACAAAAAGAACACGTGCATAAACAAGAACACTGAAACGCAGATAATATTCCGATTTCTGAGAAGGCCTTGGTAACAACTTTAGACGGGCCATACTCGTAGAAATAAGCACAAATGCGTATCAATAGTACATGGAATCGAAACAAGACATATGAAGAACTTTAAATCCGTCGGGAGCTATAAGATACATTCCCTTATACGAGTGAGATCAAAATATTTCACGAGGAAGACTTATTTCACTTACCATTATGGATTCCTTGTATGGAGTCAAACACAAAGCGCCATCTACAATCGCATTGTTCAGCGTTAAGAGCGGAAGTAGTGTTTTTATTATTTCGACATCCGAAACGAAGGACAAATATAGCCCACTTGAAGAACCAATCTATTTTAATGAAAATTCATCCAAAGAAATCACAGGAAAATGAATATCAGACAAAAGAACGAGAAATATAAATATGATTAAGGGGGATAACTCTAACAATAAAATTCGTCATCACTTTTTTCATCTTGCACGCGATTACATGAATTTACGTCACATTTGAGTAATAAGAAAAATCTGAAATTATTGCGTCTGTTTTATATTAGTCTAAATAAGACACATATCCTGAAATATATATGCCAGAAACCGAAAATGAGATATCAACCCTTCTATCGAAGTCGGAACGGTTTGGTTTTAATATTAGGTTGTAATCAAGCATGCATGCAGTGACTTGTAGACTCTAGGCTAGGCCTAAGAAGAGATAACTCGCCTTTTCGAAATATACATTAAAAACTTATTAAGTAACAATCAATACCTGCTCTCAAGAGAAGATAACTCTGCAATTCGCAAAGACGGAATATTACAGTTGGGCATTTAAAACACTTCTGTTGACAAGGTCGGTTAGAGCGATAGTACAACAATCTGAAGTTCGGGGATCGAATCCCGGTCTAGCCACACTGACTTTCTGTATCACCCAGATTACCGTTGTTGATTTTTTTTTTTCATCTTTACAATTTTTCATAAAAGTCCCTCAAGGTAAGGTTTTCTTGTCAGAAATGATTTATTAAAGGTATAGCCATGCTGGAAAAACACGTTCCATGGCGACGGTAGTTAGTAGTTACAGTTTTTGGGCAGTGGCCATGGTGCTTAAGAATCACTATGCCACAACTTCCAAAAACTATAACTAAGCATCGGAAAATATGTTTTTGGCATGAATATTGCTTTGATAAATCATTTCCGTCTGAAAACAAGACCAAATCTTGCGGAACTTTAATAGAAAAAAATATCAAGATGAAATGAAAATATTAACAACATGCAGTGTGTTTCATAAAGAAAATATTATCAATTAACAGCAGTGCTCCGAGTGTAAAAACTCAGCAGAGCTAGACCAGGATTCGAACCCTGAACCTTAAATTGTTCTGCTGTTGCTCACACCTGCGGATCATGCGCTACATATATGGTCAAAAAGAGTTCCTGGTTCAATTAAAATTAGTTATCCTTAATGAAATCAAGAGGAGGTTCGTATATATGAAAACATGTCATGGGATTCTCTAGTGTTTTTTCTGTTCTGGAACAGGAATCCATAAGTGCTATTTCAGGTAAACTGCGTCAGAACCTCGATATGGGACTGCGAGTTCAGTGCAGTGTCAACCACGTGCACCTTGTGATGTAAAATAATCACTAGAAATGCTGAATGTTTGATTCCCAGCTCAAGTTTTTTATTTTATTTAGTTGATGATTTAAGGGCTTGCTATTGACAAACAAAAGACCAGAACAGTTTCTAAAGGTTTGGTTTGGCCGGTTGTTTGTGATTTACGTCCTAGTAACAACTATATATGGTCAGCTAAGCACGTGCCGGGTTTTGGTGGTGGAGGAAAGTCGGAGTAGCTGACCTGAATAGTCCTCTAACCCGCGACCCAGTGGTGGTATCTACCAGTTTGAGAAAGATTATCTTATTTTTTTTTTATAGATTTGTATGTAATTAAATCCATATTCATAACAACACAAAAAATACATCTAGTCTTAGAGTGGTTCACACTTAGTCGGTTGAAATATTTTCCCAATTGAATTCAACAAAATTGTTATCGAAATCTGTTGTTTTCAAAACATTAATACAAAAAATGCTGTTTATCTTTGTTTACTTTATTGTTAATAAAGTTAACGAGACGTAAAAGAAAAACACGTTTTATTTCTAAACAGAACCTTTGATACAAGACCTTTAATGAGATGAGTTTAAAATTAAAGAGGAATTAATTACAAGGTATAGAATTTTTAGGGGTATCATTGAGATAAATATTTTTTATGGATATACGATACCTTTAATCCCCCCGGCAAGTTTATACATACTCATAAAACTTAGAAATATATGTATGTATAATATGTGTGATTCTATATATATGGTTGTTGATGAGGATTGCTGTAGGGTTTGGGATGCCCCAACAAATGGTGTCCTCAAGCATGAGGGCTATCATTCAACACATTGTCTCCCTTTTTACCTGTTCAAAATTTCTCCTTTCTCTTTCTCCCACCTTCACATTTATATCTCCCTTTTAAGCCGGAAACGATCAGCTTGTCAACCACTAGGGGGAGATAGCCTCGTTCAGAACGGCACGATTTAGGACAGAACGATAGTATGGCGTTACGTCATCAATGCATTGATCAGCAGTAGCTGACCATGGAAGACAACTCTGGATTTTCTGTAAAAACATGCAATATAAAACACGCTTATATTTCATGCAATCACCTATTGTCGGCGGATTTGTGAGTGAAACAGGATATGAGAAAGACAATCAAGAATATCATCCTTTGGATTATGAGAAGTTCTTTATACACAACCAATACAGTTTTCTATGTGACGTTTCGATGACTAGTACGATATGTACACTGTCACCCTCATCAGACAAATGACCAGTGAAGCGTATGCACACAAAGGTGTAAAATGTGTACGAGTCCATAAAATCGATGTCGATTTCGGCTACGCTGGTAACGTATCTACAATACGTGTTATATATGTTCCGAAATGACTCAATTCAGCTACGCTTTGTTAACACTTGGTCATAGATGGTCTGTGATTGCCGATCTGAAACAATCCAGAGGATATATTTCGGTCATGGCATAGCAACAGCCATGAAACCCCACAAGACGCTTCGCGATATCCAAGTACACCCTAAGGATAAAACACCTAAAGAAAACGTTGCAGAATGCGTATACAAAATCGGATGCAAAAACTGCGACGCGTCGTATTTTGGAGAGACTGGAAGGCGATTTGGTGTCCGCCTTGGTGAACACCAGAAAGACACAGAAACCCAAGAAGGTAGGATATTCACCAGATCAGAAAGAAAACAGTCGTAGTCCAAGTTAAACAAGAATTCCACGGAAGTGGATGTGTCGCCTTTTCATTTCAAGAAATAATGTTAAAAGTAAGCAATAATCATAGATTATGTTTTTGGATGGCATCATTTTGTTATATAATCTGTTATTCTGGGAAGAATTTAAGGAACTTGCTATGGATACTCATTGTCTCAATTCCAAGTTTAATTTGTATGACTTGTCGGATGGTTTCCCATAAATAAATTAATAAACTTGTGAATTATGATGTTAAACAGCTAGTGTTGTCAAATAACATTTGGAGTAAGACGGCATTTCAGAGGTATACACGGTGGGTCAAGTGGTAGATCGAAGCCGTCCAGTATACAGTTTTAGTGAAGTATCTATTTATAGTAACAGTGACCTTGACCTTTGACCTTCGGACCTGAAAAGCAATCCCAAGCAAGCACTTTTGGTAAGGAAGCACTGCATGAAGTTTGAGTTTGATCGGCCCAAGGAAACTCAAGTTATCGCACGAAAACCTTTGTTCGGACGACGCCGACGACGCCGACATAGCAATATACCTATGTGTCACCAGCTTTTCGCAGGCGACACAATAAATCGACAATCACAGACCATGCCACACATAAAAACCATTTGATTGACTTGGATAACTCAAAAGTTTTGGACAGAGATAGCAATCTGTTCAAGCGGCAGATAAAGGAAGCCATCTGGATACGCTGCAGTGGGCCAGTTCTAAATCGAGAGGAGGGGGCTCAAAGACTCTCGCACATCTATTGAGTCTTTGTGTGCATACGCTTCACTGGTCATTTGTCTGATGAAGGTGACAGTGTACATATCGTACTAGTCATCGAAACGTCACAGACAATTTTATTGGTTGTGTAAAAAGAATAATCCATACTTACCAACCTGAAGAAAATGTTTATCAAAAGTGAATGACAATATCCATACCCCACATGTGTTTTTGTTTACACTACTGTCGGTGGAGTTGTGACTAAAATAATAGGATGGGAGAAAAATAATCATCCCCTACCTTAAGGGTGTAACAGCAAAATCTCCAACCCTCGGGGTGATTTTTTTGGTTGTCTAACCCTTTTTGGTTGTCTAACCCTCGGCAGAGCCTCGGGTTAGACAACAACAAAAAACATCACCTCTCGGGTTGGAGATTTCTCTGTCACACCCTCAGGGTAGGGGAAGATTATATTCTTCATCCGACAACTCATCATCGCCAAACAGTAGCAATTTACTTGAAATTTGACGATTTATCTCAGTTAAGACACGTACACGGAGTTGTGAAAAAAGGCGGAAGTGTAACAAATAATGTTCAATAACAAACAAGGTTTCTACGATACAAGTAAAATTTTAGGGAACTACACTCCATTCTAAGTCTAGCTTGGTGAATCTGACCCAGCCTACTACCGATAAAGTAGAAAGGTGGGACTTTGTGGGATGGTTCATACAGGTAATTTTTTTAATCTAGATATGGAGGGGTCATCTATTATTGAGTCTGGTAAGGAGTTCCAAAGATCAATTACGGAAGACAAGAAAGACTTCCTGTATAGACTATTAAGACATAAGATATGACGAAAAATATTGCCTTTAAGTCGTGGATGTTGTTGTTACGCCGAGGGAGAATATCTTCTAGGTAATTCGGGACGAGACCATGGACCATTTTATGAGAGTGGATTATTTTGTGATATTTACGCCTTTGCTTCAGAGGAAGCCACTTGCCCGTTTAAAGGTATACAGTTTAACTCTACTAGTGAGCCTAATACCACCAGTTTCTATACGTATTACTTCCAGTTGGAGGTCTTCGACTAAATAAGTAGGACAGTCCCAAATAATATCTCCATACTCCAATATGGGTCGAATAAGAGTGAAATACAAAGTTTGAAGACACCTGCGGATCTAAGGTAAACTTATATTTCCTTACAATGTAATTTTTTGGTGAAAGCTTTGATTTTAAATAATTAATGTATTCGATACAACAGCCATTTCCAGACAGAAATAAACCAAGATGTTTATGTGACTTAACTTCAGCA